CGAGTCCAAGGTCTAATGGACAAGTTGAGCGGTATAACCGCACCATCTTGGACTCTCTGACCGCGCAAAACCTTAGGGACGACGAGAAAAATTGGGATAGCCAGCTCGGTAAAATTCAGTGGGGCCTTAATAACACTGTGCAAAAGACGATAGGTCGAACTCCCGCGGAGGTTATGTTTGGTACCGCGATAAATAGTGAAAGTAACCCAATACTTAATGAAATAACAAACCTCACTCGTGAATCTTGTGACCTATCGTCTCTTCGTAGAGAAGTTAAGGATAAACTTGATAGGGAACAGGTAAAACAAAAACAATATTACGACAAGGGGCGTAAACCAGCTCAAAATTATAGTAAGGGGGAGTTAGTTAAAATATTAAAATCCGCATTCCAAAATGATGGCAAAAGTACTAAACTTTTGCCATCATATGAGGGTCCGTATAGGGTGGTTAAAGTAATGGGTAATGATCGATATAAAGTGGCACCCATTCCTGGTTTTGAGGGAATGAGGAAAAAGCGAAAAACTACAGTAGCGTCTGATCGTATGCGACCATGGATACATATAACTTCTTTAGAGCTAGATAGTGACGGTGAGGATGCCATAGAGATTGGTAGTAACTCATCCGAAGTGAGTGACTAAACATTATATAAGAGTATTTATGTAATTATTTATTTGTTTAATTTATTTAGGTCAGTCATGAGACTACGTGAGCGAGCGGGTTCATGACTTGACTTTGTTGTTTACGGAATGCTTGTGGAATTGTGGAGCGCGAGACTACGTGAGCGAGCGGGTTCGCGACTCTATTCATTTCATATTATGTGGGTGCGAGACTTCGTGAGCGAGCGAGTTCGTAACCTTGATTTATTTACCCTATGGGCTGACTTGATGTATGGTGCGAGACTTCGTGAGCGAGCGGGTTCGTAACCGTCGTCTGGTTCAGTTATCCTATGGGTTTATTTGATTAATGTAGTTACTTATACTACCAGATGAACTACTGTGCATTTTGAGTTACTTAAATTGATTATTTATTTGTTTGTTTAAATGGTTGAACATACATTTCTAATTATTGTTTTTCTCCATGACTTGTTCTGTTAAAATTGTTATTAAGATCACACCCGCGAAAAGAATTAACCCACCGAGGTTTCTTGCTTGTTCTTTTACTCGAGTTGGGCCGGATAGGGTTGGAACAAGTGTAAACTTAGTTTTAAGATTAGAATGTGATCTTTTGCTGCCATAAGTCGATGTGCCGAGTGTAAGGTTCTCAACTGAGGCGTGTATGGGGTCATACACGTCATCAGGATGGTCGAGTGTAAGGTTATTTTGTTTATTCCTAAAAATGATATATTTCTAATTTAAAAAAAAACTTAATAATTGAATCGGGTAACACTTTTAACCTGGCAACACCGAAAAGAAAAAAAGGGTGGCGGTTTTTTGGTTTTGGAGAGACGCGGGAAAGCGGAGATTTATGGCGGCAATTTTGGGTGAGAAAAGAAAGGTGAATGGGATTGAGAGGATTTTTGGTAAAATACAAAGTGAGAACATATATACAGTGGAAGTTTTATTGAAAACCCCTATAATTCTTACACATACATAATAATCAATATTTGTGATAACAATTCGAGAACTTCATTAATTATAATAAAAATTTAATTATAATTATAAATTTGATTTCCAATTATTATAAAACAATCATAATATCCGTTATTTTAATGTGTTGATACAAAATACATCATTTCTAACACATTTTTTTTAATTTACCTTTTCACTATGACATGGAAGCACGCAGCTGTTTAAGTCACTAGTCAACTTACTAGTCACTAAAAAAATAAGTACTGATGCCTAGTCGGCCCACTCCTCACGGTGCTTCTGTGGTTACATCGCTCTGGCACCATGAACTTGCAACATTAGGATAGCCTCTGATGCGGTTTATGATAGTTTGATAAATGTATTTCATGTTTATAGGTTGACATTTCTACTACCAGGAAAAAGTACGAAGGCTTAGATGCACCGAGAACGAAAAAACTCTAAAGTCGGCCATTTACGGCCCATGGTCGGTCGCGTTTTTCCCAAATGTCGGCGGGTAGGGCCGGATAGGGTGTTTTAAATTAAAACTGACAAATATTATTAATATGATTTATTTTGGCAGGTATCTTACTAACCAACGAACCATTTGTATTTAAAAGCAGTTAGGCCAACGAACATGGATGTAATAGGTAGCAAATTCCAGAGAGCAATTTATACCATATATTTCCAAACCGTAAATAAGCAACAAAAATTGGTTTTAAATATTATCAACATCCTACTATTTGAACTTAACTTATTATAATATTAATACAATAAACGTATGATAAATATTTACTTTGAGAAAATAATAAAAAGTAATCAGTCTGTATAGTGGCGCTCGAATTTTAGGCTGACATTACGATCTTTAATGTTTTATTTAGTTTATTTGCCTAGATGCGTTGCAAATTCTCTAATTAGCCAATGGAATTACTACTATTGGAATTTATAAAACAGACTGCAGTTAATTTAAGTCGTTTTTTTTTGTTTGTTTATTTTTTTTGTTTATTTAAAAAAACGTTGCCCCACACTAGGATTTTCTCCTGTGTCGTGGGTGCGTTTACAAACATACAAGTTCACATACACATGACACCCAGACCCGGAACAACAAGCTGTGGATCACACAAAGAGTTGTTCCGTGCGGGAATCGAACCCGCGACACGTTGCGCGGCAGCCAGTTGCCCAGCCACCGCGCCAACCGTGCAGTCGAACGTTAACGGTTACGGCCGAGAATACGGTTTTAACTTAAAGTTGGTATCCTATTGGGGGCGCCAATAGGACCAATAGGAATCCTATTTTTTCTTTAAAACAATACGTAAAACATTAGAAAAGCTATCTAAAAATATAGTAAAAATCACTTACTACTGGTAATAAAGCTGAAAACAAAAAAAGGAATGGCTTACCGTTTAAATCGAAATCCCCGAAGTGTGGGTATTCACAGCAAGTAAGGTACTTTAACTGGTCGAGTACCGGTTTTATAGACACAATTAAAGGACAATAGGTCGCGGTCACCGGTGACCGCTTGGTGTTTGACAGTTTAAATATGAAATTGACGCTTTGAAGTATATGAATATATATATAGAGGATAAAAATGCTTGGAGGCAGGCTAGTCCGGCTCCACAGGTGTTTTAATGAAATCGTAAATAATACATCCATATTGCTAAATTGTATATTGTTTAACTTAGATAACCATTGTAAATGTGTGAGCCCTGTAATTAACTTAATATTAAATTAGATTAGTAGAATTCATTTGTGTCAGCTTGGAGTTGTCATGCTCAAAGGTCTCATTGGCGGTGGCGCGTGCAGTGGATCGCTCGATTCCCTACAATATAGTTGAGTTGGGCGGCGCTGGTGTACGTGTCATGTTCTTGAACGGGTGCCGTCAACTGGGACTGGTCAGCTCCAGACTGTATTCCTTAAGGTTATTTTCTTTTTTGATAACTGACTGGATTTTAGTGTTACATTCCAAACAGCAAAACTATGTAACTAGAGAATTGTATTGTGAACTTGATTGAAAAAGAGTAACCTATGGAGTTTCTTGCTCGTTCTTCTCCATAGGAATCTACCTTGGAATGAGCAAATAGCATCACTTTTATTTTTTTGTTGACGTCCAAAAATTTCTTTCTGGCCTAATTGATATAAATGATTTTGACTTTGACTTTGACGGTGCAATCACTACTTACGCTCAGTGTGCGAAGAGTGAGTAACGTAATAGGATAGTAACGGTTTGTACATAATAAGTAGTATGAACTAAGGTTCCAATTAGGGTGGCATTATTGCCACTTTATCAAGTTTTAAATGAACGCAAGCTGAAAATGTCCAGACGGCCTAAGTTGGGGGGGGGGGGGGCGTAAGGCGTATTTACCCTACTTAGTTAAAATAAAAAAACATACCTAATGCTATAGACATTTTTTAAGGGGGGAAAAATCATCGAATGACTGATCCCGCCTGGGTGAGGCGGGAGGGAGTGTCAGACTCTTACTGACTAAAAACCACCCCGTTCCTTCTCCTGCACCTCGAGCCGGAGTCCCGGTTACCCGTTAGGTTCTCCGCGACATGCTATAGACATTTGGAAGCATAATATGTGTAATCAATAATGGTACGTGACAGGGGCAGTAAGTAAATAAACATTCAGATACTGGGTATAATTCGGTGACGTTGACCCGGCTCACGGCTCCTTCCGCTCCTGTTCACTAGTTAACTAATCAAGGAATTTGTATTCACGCGGAGCCCGGAGGTGAAGCTATGTCGGATGGCGCGATAAGTGTGTGCGTTACTTGTGAACACTAACGAGAGGTAATGAATCGCTGCAGGAGCGCTGACTAGATCGCCAACTATAATTATCTTTAACTAGCTACTTCCGCGCGGTTTCCCACGCTCTGCTCAACTTCTATTGGTCGTAAGGTGATGTTTTATAGCCTATATCATTTCTCGATAAATGGGCTATGCAACACAGAAATAATTTTTCAAATCAGACCAGTAGTTCGAAGATTAGCGCGTTCAAACAAACAAACAAAAAAACTAACTCCTCAGCTTCATATATTTATCGTTGGGGATTGAGGAATTGTGCTTTCGTGCCGAAGCAAGCAGCAATTATTATATTATAAATATATAGTAAAATTATAATAATTATACATATAATTAATAATTAATAAATATATAATAAAATTAGAATAATTATATAATTAATAATTATAAATAATAGTATTTTTTATGGGGGGAAAATCATCGAATGGCTGCTTCCGCCTAGGTGAGGCGGGAGGGAGTGTCAGACTCTTACTGTCTAAAAACCACCCTGTTCCTTCTCCTGCATGTCGAGTCTAAGCCTCGGTAACCCGTTAGGTACTCCGCGACTATGTATTAGTATAAGATAATAATAATATGTACCTACTGTTTGCATTGAACCTGATTGATTGAAATTGACATGATTGTTTGTTGCAGACGAACGAGAAGACGTACAAAAAAAGACATTTACGAAATGGATAAACTCTCAGCTAGTGAAGGTATGTATGTGTTTACTTGACAATAATAAATGCTCATGGTTAAGGCACCGTTGGCGTAGTAATGACCGGCAGCCGGCAATTTGTTTGTTCAATTCTATAAGGTACACGTACGTAATAGTGATTTTCTTTTTACATATTTATTAAAAAACGATATATTGGTACCTGCTTTATTATGAGATTTATTATTGCAACGAAAACCATTAAGTATTTGGAAGTTTTACAGCGTACGTATAGTTTGACGAAAGTGTGTGCTTGTGTATCACTCCGCAGAACGACAAGCCGCTGGTGGAGGACTTGTTCCTGGACCTGCGGGACGGGGAGGTGCTGCTGTCTCTGCTCGAGATCCTCACGGCCCAGCAGTATGTAAGTGTCGGTCTAGTCGGGCCAGTGGGCGGCCGCTCCCGCCGCACCGTGCTCACGAGGGCTTGTTGCAGAGACGCGAGCGGGGGCGCATGCGCGTGCACCACATCAACAACGTCAACACGGCGCTGCACGTGCTGGACTCCAACGGAGTCAAGCTCGTCAACATCAGCAGCAACGACATCGTCGACGCCAACCCTAAGCTGACCCTCGGTGAGTGGTCTCCTCCCCGCCTCGGACGCCCGGCGCTACCTGTCGGCCGCGCTGTGACCGCTCTCTCTCTGCGCAGGGCTGGTGTGGAGCATCATCCTACACTGGCAGGTGCACTACCATCTCAAGGAGCTGATGTCGGAGCTGCAGCAGACCAACCTGGAGAAGACTCTGCTGGCCTGGTGTCGCACACACACACAGGTGAGTGCCGTCTCCGGCCGCCGTGACGCCGCGGGAGCTAGTAACGAGTCGCGCTGTCGGTTTGCAGAACTACGCGGGCGTGAATATAAAGAACTTCACGACGTCGTGGTCGGACGGGCTGGCTTTCAACGCGCTGCTGCACCGCTGGCGGCCGCAGCTGTTCGACTACGCCAGCGTGGTGGCGCGGCCGGCGGGCGCGCGCCTGGACCACGCCTTCCAGCTGGCGCACGACCACCTCGGCATCGACCGCCTCCTCGACCCTGAAGGTGCGCCTCCTAGTCCGTCTGCTCTCAGGCCTCCTGCAGAGTGCGTGACGCGTGTGTCTGTTGCAGATGTGAACACTCCGAACCCCGACAAGAAGTCGATCATGATGTACGTGATGTGCCTGTTCCAATCGCTGCCGCACTCCAGCGAGGACGTGGCCGACCTGGACAGCATCCACTCCGAGCCGGGCACGCCCGTCGCCACGCAACCTCCCGAGGTAAACGTTGCGTGCTCTACTGACTCACTTATAACTATTGTAGTGTTGTAGTGTCCTCGTAGGACATTTTATTTATTTCCTCACTACTGTGTACTCTATTTGTAAAGAACTTGGCTCCAGTAAATACCTAACACGTGAATTGATTCGTTTCGCTTATAGAAGATGAGTGAGTAAACTGCTTGCTAGGTAATAGTTTGAACTTGGGACTGGGATGCCGTCTTCTCCTTCTGCGAAGCAGTCATGCTAGCTAAGGAGGAGGCGGAGCGCGTGAGGGAACGAACCTCCTCACGACCCGGCCGTCGCGAGAGACACTTCGGGCGTCGGGGATCGCGAAACGATCTCCGGCCACCGTAAGCACGGGCCTGCGGACGGCGAGCATGGGTGACTCGCCGCCCGACCAGAACCAGGCCCGAGCGTACGGCGCGTCGCATTCCGCGCGCGTCTCAAGGAGCCATCAGACCACCACAGATGGGGCCTAACAGGGCTGATGCCGATACGGAGCCGCGGAAGACTTAACGGGTTGCCGGGGCTCCGGCTCGAAGTGCAGGAGTAGGAACGGGGTGGTTTTTAGTCAGTAAGACACTCCCTCCCGCCTCACCCGGGCGGGAGAAGTCATTGGATGATTTTCCCCCCTCAAAAAAAAATGTAATAGTTTGAACTTAGCATTAAGTAAGCGTGGGAGGCACGAGCGTTACAGTAGAGCGGCGCTGGCGCAGGTGGCGGGCAGCCGGCCGCTATCCACGGCCACGACGGGGTCCGGCGAGCTCGGCGGATACTACGGCGCCTTCGAGGACGTGCTGGGCTGGCTGCTGGAGGCCGAGGAGCGCCTGGCCGCCGCGCCCGCGCCCGCCGGCGACGAGCTGGCGCCGCTCAAGGCGCACTTCCACGCGCACGAGCGCTTCCTGTTGGAGCTGGCGGCGCAGCAGGCGCGCGTGGGCGGCGTGCTGGACGAGGGCGCGCGCCTGTTGCGCGAGGCGGGGCTGGCGCACGACGAGGCGGCCGAGGTGCGGCTGCAGCTGCGTCTGCTGGGCCAGCGCTGGGAGGCGCTGCGCCGCGCCGCGCTGGCCACGCAGGCGGCGGGCCACGCGGCGCTCATGCGCGCGCAGCTGGCGCAGCTGGCCGCCTTCCGGCGCTGGCTGACGCGCACGGAGGACCGCATGTCGCGCCTGCCGCGCGGCCTGCGCGCGCAGCTGGCGGCCGTGCGCGCGCTGCACGCCGACCTGCGCGCGCACCAGCCCACGGTGGACGCGCTAGCCGACTGCGTCATCGTCGTGGACGACGACGCGCAAGACGCCGGTACGTAGCGTACGCTGTGCCTGTATATATGTCAAAGGTGGGAGTGTGACGTGGCTCAGTTTGATACTTGGTGTGCGGCAGGCGTGACGGAGATAGAGGACGAGCTGACCGCGCTCAGCGAGCGCTGGTCGCACACGTGCCAGTGGACCGTGCAGCAGCTGGAGCGACTGAGCGCGCTGGAGGCGCAGTGCGCGGAGCTGGACCGCCAGCACGCCGCGCTGCTGGGCGCCGCCGACGCCTGCGAGAGCGAGCTCAAGCACATGGAGGCGCACCCCGCCGCCGACGTGGGCGCCGGGCTGCGCCGCCTGGCCGACCTGCGCCGCCTGCGCGCCGCGCTGCGCCGCCACCAGCGCGCCGCCGCGGCGCAGCTGGACGCGGCCGCGCGCCTGCAGGCGCAGGAGCCGGACGCCGGCGCGGCGCCGCCCGAGCGCGCCGAGGCGCTGCACGACCGCCTGGACGCGCTGCTGCTCATCCTGCACGTGCAGGCGCAGCGGGTACGGCTCTTATTAGTCAATTAATAAATAAATAGATAGAAGGAAGCCCTTCCAGGATTGAAAGATGTCGAATTTCCGTGGTTTTACGTCATATGAGAATTGTAATGGAAGCGGAGTTTGGTTCTCAGTTAAAGGACCTGGGCTTCGACATCGACTCGGACTCTGCGTCCGAAGGCGAGGCGGAGACGTCGCGCGACGAGCCGCCCAGCGACAGCAAGAAGCCGCGACTGGCGGGGGACGCGCAGCCAGACTTCCAGTTAGGATACAAGTCCTTCGAGACCTGGGCTACCAACGCCGAGAAAACGCTCGAAGATGTTGGTATTATATCATCGCGCTGTTGACATTTTATAAAACTTGTATTGAGTTTAACAAACGTGTTATTTTTAGTGCAAGCGAGAACTGGAAAATACAAGTGGCAAAGTGGAAATCTCGGAACTTTTGGAACGCCTGGAAAAGGAAATGGAAACGCAGCGGGCGGACTTTGCGAACGTGGAGGAGATACAACGGAGACTGGCGGCCGAGGCCGGGCTGCAGGGTGAGTGTAGCACTGAGTGTACTGGCGGCCGAGGCCGGGCTGCAGGGTGAGTGTAGCACTGAGTGTACTGGCGGCCGAGGCCGGGCTGCAGGGTGAGTGTAGCACTGAGTGTACTGGCGGCCGAGGCCGGGTGCAGGGTGAGTGTAGCACTGAGTGTACTGGCGGCCGAGGCCGGGCTGCAGGGTGAGTGTAGCACTGAGTGTACTGGCGGCCGAGGCCGGGCTGCAGGGTGAGTGTAGCACTGAGTGTACTGGCGGCCGAGGCCGGGCTGCAGGGTGAGTGTAGCACTGAGTGTACTGGCGGCCGAGGCCGGGCTGCAGGGTGAGTGTAGCACTGAGTGTACTGGCGGCCGAGGCCGGGCTGCAGGTGAGTGTAGCACTGAGTGTACTGGCGGCCGAGGCCGGGCTGCAGGGTGAGTGTAGCACTGAGTGTACTGGCGGCCGAGGCCGGGCTGCAGGGTGAGTGTAGCACTGAGTGTACTGGCGGCCGAGGCCGGGCTGCAGGGTGAGTGTAGCACTGAGTGTACTGGCGGCCGAGGCCGGGCTGCAGGGTGAGTGTAGCACTGAGTGTACTGGCGGCCGAGGCGGGCTGCAGGGTGAGTGTAGCACTGAGTGTACTGGCGGCCGAGGCCGGGCTGCAGGGTGAGTGTAGCACTGAGTGTACTGGCGGCCGAGGCCGGGCTGCAGGGTGAGTGTAGACTCGAGGCCGAGCACTCACTGCGGCTTATTCTTACAGAAGAGGCGGAGCGACACGCCGACAGTATCCGCCAGCTCAAGGCGCGCTGGGACAGCATCGCAGCCGCCCTCGCGGACATACGCGCCGCACAGGCCGCCGAGCTGGCGGCCGGCGAGCTGGAGTCCGAGCTGCTGGAGCTGGAGCGCGAGCTGAACGAGCTGCGCGCCGCCGCCGCGCGCCTGCTGGCCGCGCGCGCGCACCACAACCAGCGCGTGCACCTGCGGCCGCGCCAGCGCACCGCGCGCGCCCTGCTGGCGCGGGCCGCCGGGCTGGGCGCGCGCGCCGCCGCGCTGGGCGCCGCCCACTCCGCGCGCCTGCAGCCGCGCGCGCAGGCCGCGCACGACGCGCTGGCCGCGCTGCTGCAGGAGCTGGCGGCGCGCGACGCCGACATTGCGGCCCGCGCCGCCGCGCCCGACGACTTCAAGGCGCTGCACGACAAGATCCTGGCCATGGAGTCGCAGATCATCGCGGAGCACGCCGTCATCTCGACGCGCGAGGCCATGGCCGACAAGCTGCTGCAGCTGCGCGGGCTGGCGCGCGAGTTCGACGACCTGCAGGCCACGTACGACCGAGTGGTCGCCGAGCGGAAGGACGACTACGAGAAAGGAAGCGTGCAGGAGCTCAACTTCAAAAGTAGCCTCGAAAACTTGGTCACCAAGTTCGAGGACACGAAAATCATATTACAACAGAAAATTAAAAAACTCGAAAATGGTAAACAATCATTTAAAATATTATTATATTGATGATGATAATCGAGAAAAGGATAGCAGACAGACGGTCGCCATAATAGATGTACAGCGTCGGTCGGTGCGTGTCGCAGGGCTGGAGCTGCTGCAGCGCTGGCAGCGCGCGGCGGAGGCGGCGCGCGGCTGGCTGCAGCGCCTGGACGCCTGGCTGCAGCAGCAGGACGTGCCGCTGGCGCAGCAGGACGCGCTGGAGCTGCTGCTTCAGCGCAGCAACGTGAGTGCGGGCCGCCTGGGTACTGGCTGCGTGCCTACATTTCTTAATTCGCCAAACTTTCTTTATAGCAATTCGAGGAAGAGAAGCAGACGTACAAAGCCGAAATAGACACAGTAGAAAGCACCAAAGAATCGATTCTCGAGGATTGCGACGACGCCATCGCTAAGATGGTACAGAACGAAACGAAGAGTCTAGTGAAACGATACGAGAGCGTCACGGAGAAGGCGTTCCGACTGAACGAGGAGCTGCGGAGGGGACTGGAGCGCACCGAGGCGGTGTTCCGCAAGATAGCGGACATGGAGGCCTGGCTGCAGGACCTGGAGGCTCAGCTGCCGGCCGAGCACGAGTGCCGCATCACCGACTCCGCCGAGCTCTACCAGATGAAGGCGCGCTTCCAGGCGCTCAAGGACAAGTGCGACGACCACACGCAGCAGTTCCGCAACCTCAACGACTGCAGTGAGTACTACAGGCGGGCGGCAGGCGGCGCCAGGCGGGCGGCAGGCGGCGCCACCGCATTCTACAACGCGGCTTTGTTACAGGCGGCGACATGCTGGTGTCGGCGGGCGCGGCCGGTGCCGAGCTGGCGCGCCGCGTCACCAGGCTCAACGCGCGCTGGACGCACGTCACGCACGGCGTGTACGAGCGCTACAAGTCAGTACCCAGGAGTAGTGTAGTAGTAGTGTACGAGCGCTACAAGTCAGTACCTGCAGTAGTCAGTGTCGCAGGGTGCTGGCGGAGGCGTGGCACGAGAGCGGCGAGCTGCGCGCGTGGCTGACGCAGGAGCGCGCGTGGCTGGACGGTAGTGTGTAGTAGTAGTGTACGAGCGCTACAAGTCAGTACCTGCAGTAGTCAGTGTCGCAGGGTGCTGGCGGAGGCGTGGCACGAGAGCGGCGAGCTGCGCGCGTGGCTGACGCAGGAGCGCGCGTGGCTGGACGGTAGTAGTGTAGTAGTAGTGTACGAGCGCTACAAGTCAGTACCTGCAGTAGTCAGTGTCGCAGGGTGCTGGCGGAGGCGTGGCACGAGAGCGGCGAGCTGCGCGCGTGGCTGACGCAGGAGCGCGCGTGGCTGGACGGGCTGCAGCGCAGACTGCGGCGCTCGCCCAACGCGCCGGCGGACGCGGAGGAGATCTCCGACGAGCTATACGTTAGTACACGTTCATGTTTTCTTTACCACTCTTTGCACGTACGGTATCGTGGACTCGCACACGTACTATATTTAGATACTAATTTATTTTATATATCATTATTTAGCTTCAAAAGCAATGTCATTGTATTTGAAATATGTCAGCATATCATATGTTAACCAAAGTTTAATTTTTCATTCACACGTCTGTAAGCTTTTGTCGACTTTTTTTTAAAGTTGACCATGCGCCAAACTCCCTGTATACATCATATAGACGTATTATAGATTATAAGATAGATTTTTTAATCTGTCTTCTTACACCAAATCAACATTTTATTAGTTATTTTTCATTCGAGTCGCGTTACTTTTATTGTGACTGTCCTAATGAGACTGGGTTGTTTAATAGGTCTTTGTCGGTCGATGAGTTATTGTTGTTTTATAATAGAGACAGTAGTTAGGTATAAGATGTCGTATACTCGTCATACGAAAGTTTGACATTCGGTAATATCGCAGGATCTGGAAAACTACATCCAAAACCACAGCGACGAGCGTCTATCGCGCATACAGGACATCGGGCGACAGCTCATAGACGCTCACATCATGCCGGGCTGGATCCAGGCCGAGATAGACTCCATCACCGACACCTGGAACTCGCTGCGGGCCGAGGCGGCCGCCCGCAGCGCGCTGCTGGAGCGCGGCGTGCGCGAGGCGGCGCGCTCCGAGGGCGCCGTGGACCGCCTGCAGCAGTGGCTGGACGCCGCCGCCGCCGCCGCGCCCGCCGCCGCCGCCGCCCTGCTGGCGTCCTGCGCCGCGCAGCGCGCGCTGCTGGCCGACGTGCGCGCGCAGGCCGACGCCTACCGCCGCGCCGGCAAGCACGAGGCGGCCGCGCCGCTGGACCAGCTGGAGCTGCTGCAGCGCCGCTTCGAGGCGGCCGAGCGCGCGCTGCAGGCGGCGGCGGCGCAGGACGCGGCGCTGGGCGCGCGCCTGGGCGCGGCGCAGGCGGCGCTGGCGGCCGTGGCGCGCGACGCGGCGCGCGACCTGGGCCTGCCCGCGCTGGACCCCGAGCGACTGCGCGCGCAGCTCCGCACCTGCCTCGTGAGTACCTTCTACTATATCTACTATCAATACTATACGCACTGTAACTACGCTGGTATCGGACTCCTCGCTTACGAACCTTCGAGGCAACGCTAAACTATTCTGGTATTTAGTTAGAAGTGCCAAAGGCAAAGTGGACCGGACCGTGTGATAAGAAATATAAACGGTGATGGGAGAAAGTAAGGATGTTCTAAAGCAGTGGAAGGAATACTTCGAGAATTTATTTGAAAGACGTGATTTGAAAGAAGAGGAAGTAAACGATGATAATGAAGGTGCTAACGTGGGAGAAATAAATATACATGAAATTATGAGTGCCATTAAGAGCTTGAAAGTAGGTAAAGCAGCGGGATATGATAGGATAACTTCTGAAATGCTAACAGAGGGCGGTGTAATTGCAAGCCGTATCTGGCTGTATCTACTTTTTAATAAGTGTTGGCGGGGCCGTCGTGTCCCTGGGACTGGGCCAAGGCCGTAATTGTGCCACTGGATAAAGGAAAAGGATCACAGCAGGCGTCAAATTATCGCGGTATAAGCCTCCTAAGCGTAGTGGGAAGTTGTATGCCAAGGTATTGATTGAAAAAGTGATGGATGTAACTGAGAATAAAATGTGAGATGTGCAAGCGTGATTTCAAAAGGGAATGGGGTGTACGGATCAAGGCTTTTCTTTGCGGTGCATTTCAGAGTAAGTCTTATCATAGCACCAAAATGTATTCTGTGCCTTTATTGCCCTAGAAAAGGCTTACAACAGAGTGGTGAGGGATGAGTTGTGGTCAACTCTGTCCATGTATGGGGTGGATAGCACCTGATTCGGGCACTTCGAATGTGTCAGAATAAATTGAGCCTACACAGAGTGGTTTAACATTTATCGAGGTGTTAGACAAGGCTCTGTAGCATCTCCAAAAGTACCTTAACCGACGAGCATGTATGAAAATATCGATGACTGTTGATGAAGCAAAAGAGGTGTGTAGGAATCTTAGCAATTGGCGTTCCATAGTCTCTGCCTACCCCCATGGGAGACAGGCGTGAAGTTATGTATGTATGTATGTCATATAAAAATAAATATGTTTGAAAACAAGATATGCTAACTTTAAACCAGCTATGGACATAGCTTCATACACGAAGGAATTGGTTAAATCTCTTCTCATGCGATCTGAGTAATTATATAAATGCGACAGTTTGTGTATTTGTGTGTGTGACGTATGTTTATCACTCAATCACGTCAAAACAGCTGAAGTGATTGGGATACAATTTGTAACAGAGTTAATTATGATCTGGATTATTACATAGTAGGGATGTAACGAATGTCAGTTTTAGCCATTCGCGATTGCGAATATATGCCGATGGTATTCGCCAATGTGAATGTCAAGTTGATACTTTAGTTTATTGTGACTTCAAATGTAAACTGATAAAGTATACGAAAGGAACATATTTAGTTAGATGACACAGGTACCGTATACTTGCATATTCTATTAGTTTGGTAAGTTGATTAGGTATTAACTATACAAATTGATCATCGAAATACAGTGTTATGATCGCAAGACAGTTCAATCATAAGATAAGGTTTTATTGTAAATATAAAAGCTAGTTAATAAATATTTCTCTATTAAATTTACTTCTTTGTAATTGAAAATTTTATATATTCTTATGGCGTTCATATTCGCAATATGTATTCGCATTGGAAACATGACTAGTACAGAGGCCATTTTGTATGGTACGGGACCCCGGGTAAATCCGCTGGCACAAGTTAGTATTCCTATAAGACATGAACGAGTCGAGTTGTTGACGTTATGGTTCCGAGCGTGGCTCCATGACGGGTGCAAGAGTTCGTTGCAAGTATTGGGTAACGAGTAGTAACGAGGGCTGGCACAGAGAGTGGTGGCGCGGCCAGTAGCGCGTAGTGCCGGCCGTACTGTCGCACCGAGCGCCGCCTCCACGTCTAGTGCGCCGTACTGTCTGTCTGGCACGCGCATTGCTCACCGCGGGGTGGTAAGTTCAACAAGGAATTAACAAACATTAACGCAGTACAGAGTACACAGTGACACAGTAACACATAGTACCACAATATCATATAGTACCACAATATCATAATTACAATGATATGTGTGGGCCAGTCTGTATTCAAGTGAAAGGCGATCGGGTCTCTTGTATCTTGACACGTTATATGACTACAAACTGTACCAAGTCCTAACCTTCCATTTTTCCTTGACCTACCAAACTCCCTCTACTTGCCAATAGCTTTCCGACTCCATACTGGTTCACTTAAACCTTATTCATAAAGAAGTTTACATAGGCTTAAGTCTGTCTTAACTTCTTTATGCACATGTCTTGTTTTTGGACTTCTAACCCAAGTAGCACAGAATAGCGCTGAATAGTAGCTGAATTACTGTTCACAATGGAATCTTCAGCTGAATAAACGCCCTGAATAAGAGCGTCAGAGGCGCCTATTCAGCTAATATAACTCTGATTTGGGCACAAATTATCAGCTGTTAGCTGAATAATGTAACTGGTTGCACTATATCAGCGTTATTTGAGCATTATTAAAGGTAACAGTCGCCCTACGAGCTGAATAATGACTGGTTATCTAGGTATGTGTTACCTTTTATAGACCACAAGGACCGAATAATAGAGTACTTGTAACCTATTTTTCAGCACAAAATACACTCTAGGATATTGTAAATCTTTTATGGAGCTAACAATTCACAAGTGGCAAAATTCTGAATAATTTTCACCCTACTAAATATTTCCTTGATATTTTTTTATATGTTTTGTGATGTGAACCATTTTGTAGAGTGCTTGTGGAAAATATATAATGTTATCGTTTTTTTTACGTTTACTTTGTTGTACAATACCTATGAGATTCGAATGGAAAGTGAATTTACAATTAATTTATTATATTTATATCTTTAAAATAATATAAAATACGACATTTATAGGCTTCACAGACATTAATTTTTAATAATCTGGAGCAATAGTTTAAACATTTTTTTTATTTTAATTATAATGCATTATAGCACAATAAACAAACAAGTATATTTATTTCCATTTTGTTCACATATAGCTAAGCTTATTATTTAACTATTTTAGTTAGGTTACAATACAATGTCTGTATAGAATAAAATCTGTACTACAGGCTTTACGGTCGCGTGCATTATACTATTAGAATAATATAACAGCCGGAGCGTTGTATTGTCGCGGAGTACCTAACGGGTAACCGGGGCTCCGGCTCGAGGTGCAGGAGAAGGAACGGAGTGGTTTTTAGTCAGTAAGAGTCTGACACTCCCTCGCCTCACCCAGGTGGGAGAAGTCATTCGATGATTTTCTCCCCTTAAAAAATAGCCTTAACAAAATTATTTTTACAGTCACCAATATTACAAATATTACAAAATTATACATAAGTCCAGAAACATTAAATGTATTCCAAAAATGTACCCATAAATTATTAACTAGCTCCTGCCAGCGGCGCCGCCCGCGACCCGCGACCCCGGGGGGGAATACCTACGTATTACTTCAGACCATAATCTACCTCTGTTCCGAATTCCATTCCGCTCCCTTCAGTCGTTTTAATATGACTGAGTAACACTCATACACACGATCACTTAAACTCACATATTTTCACATGTATAATATCGGTTCAAGCTAGTTTCAACGTTCGGCCCTACAGTTACAGCGTAAAGTCCTCCTATCCCGATTTCTATGATTCTTTATTTATAGAATAGGCAATAATGTTAACTTTTTTTAAATTATGGATGAGTGAAAGTACGTGTTATTGTGAGTTAACCATAAAAGATATCAGACATCATTATACTGTTCTGGGATATTTTTTTAGATAATGTAGAATATTTCCGTTATACATGATTTCTATGTAGCTTTTTAACCATTAAGGCAACACACGTGACGGAAGCTTAAAAAATGGAGTAACTTTTCTTTTATACCACGACGGTGGCAAAAAGGCTCACGGCCCACCTGATGGTAAGCGCTTACCGTGGCCTATGTACACCTTCAACACTTGGGGCATTACATGCGTCTTGCCGACCCTTAAGAAACCTATTCATTCTCCTCTTTTAAGATTCCCATGTTGTAGCCCACTGGGAAAACCACGGCAGGGAGTTCATTTCACAATCGGAGGGTCCGTGGGAGAAAATTCCTCTGAAACCGAACTGTACGGGACCATTTGGGCTCCAATGTGTGAGCGTGAACTCCCTGTCGATGGCGAGCGGTGCGATGATAGAAAGTGGCCGTGGGCATCATATCAAACAATTCCACAGGACACGCACAAGGGGGCAAAATCCCTCCTTAGACTTAAGTGCTCGATACCGCTCGTAAGTAGCGGATCGTCAACAAGTCTTACTGCTCTTATTTGGACCGCGTCAAAAGGTCCAAGCTGGTATGCTGGCGCTCCTGCCCAGAGATGAGAGCAGCTGCAGTACTCCATATGAGGGCCAACTTCTCCCGTTTTCCCACCAGATTTCTCTCTCTCTCTCTCTCGCTCTGCTCCTATTGATTATAGCGTGATAAAAAGTACTACTATCCTCCCCAGGAGTATGAAGAATAATTGTACAAAGTTTCGTTAAAATCCGTCAAGTAGTTTTTGTTTCTATGACAGACAAAAATTTTACTGATTGCATTTTAGGCATTAGTATCGATCACGAATTACCCCTTATAGTTATTTTGGAAATATGTTTCATGTACAGATTTGACCTCTCTACAGATTTATAAGTAGGGATAGATTTAATGACAGTCTACAAATCCTCGCGTTTTACATAAGTTAATTATAGCAGATACTGATACTGAGAAATGTGCTGTTTTGCTCTGGTGTAATTTACATCGTAAACTAAAGTTATTTTAATCTTATTGTACAAATATGGCCCCAAAAATGCAAAATAACTACGTGTAAATACGTACTTTGATTCATAGCTAGAAGTACAGACAATATGTATAATAAAGTAGTGCGTCGCAAATTATGATCAAGAGCCAGATGTTAGTAGCCAGTAAAAAGTCTGTATATTCTAATTTTGAAAATAATAAGTCGTTTCATTTTGTGTTCTTAATTGATTAATTCTTGTGTGTAGATTGTTCCGTTAGGTAATTCATTCGATATTTTTAGTCCACCAACACCATATCTCTAGTGAAACTTCAATTCAATTACCAAACGTCATCCACAATAACCAAGAGATCGGTAAACAACATAGAAGTTTTTTCTGGTCTATCAATTACACTAGGTAATCGCCTAATCGGTCATGCAGAAACGTAGATATCATGCTTATTGTATTAATACTACAATAAAAATTACTGCTACATTTGGAGCTGGTTTAGCAGAAGGAAGGATTGAAATAAGTAGATACACCCTACTAGCGCGGGCTTCCTCGTTGTACTTGTACACTGCGCCTCGCGTGCTGTCGGTTGAAAGGATTCTATCATTCTATTTGTGAGCTCTGCGATGTACGATGCGACGCCAGCACTGACTGGCCTAACTTATTCGATAATCGCATTCATTGAGTACGCTTCTACATGAAACAATATAGCGATCTCTGAACGTCGATTCAATACTTTCGTTACAGTTATTATTTGTTTGTTTGGAAATACAACGACAAAATGATACACTAGTTGAATGTAAACAATAGTAAGGCATCGTAAGCGCAGTGCGTGTAGTAGATCCCGGGCCGGCGCGTACTGCGGCGGTCTGGGCCGTGTATACACAGCCGGCCTCATGTCGTGGGACTCGATTTATTTACTCGTTATTCTGAGTCTTGCTTTCTACAAATGGCTCGTAAGTAGTGCTACTAACGCTCGCCAGTGAACCTGCCAATATATTGTTAAAGTGACCATTACTCACCTTCGTATCGTTTCATCGACAGAGGTTCTACCGGACTCTCAGTGAGATCAAGTCGGAAGTGGAGTCCATCATCAAGACCGGGCGCAAGATGGTGGAAGACAAGACCGTCCCCGAGCCGCAGGAGTTCTCGAAGAAGATCGACATGCTGAAGGAGCTGTACAACAAGCTCGGCGCACAGATCACGGAGTCCAAGTCCCGGCTGGAGCACGCGCTGCTCACGGCGCGCGACATGCAGAGCGACCTGCACGCGCTGGGCGCCTGGCTGGACGGGCTGGGCGCCGGCGTCGGCCGCCAGACGCTGGAGCTGGAGATGTCGCGCATGCAGGCGCTGCGGGACAAGCTCAACGCCAACTACGCCAGCTTCGCAGACACCGCAGACCCTCAGTACGCGGACCGACTGCGGGAGCAGGTCGACGCCATCAACGCGCGCTGGGACCATCTCAAGAAGCACGGCCCGCCCGCGCCCGCCGCGCCCGCCGCGCCCGCCGCGCCCGAGGTAAGCCCGGCCGGTTCCCTCGCGTCCATACTCGGCCGACAGGTCCGAGTCCGTCTCACACGCCGACGCCCAACTTTGTCTTGGTGTCTACGTTGCTCAGTTTACATTATGCTTGTCGATTCACTGAATATTGTTTGCACGTAGTCGCTTCATTCACAACGGTAAGTGATTCATAGATACATTGGTGTTCATTTCTCTTACTTGTAAGAATTCGACCGTTCTTCAATAACTAACTAATAGTGAGTGGCGAGGTCGCGCGGCCTGCATACATGTACATAGAGTGGTGTTGGTGGCGACACATGGCGCATCATGCTTGTATCACGCATCTCATCCGGCGCCGGGACGCGGCCGGCAGTTTGACTAACTTGTAAATAACAGTGTGGTTGTGACATTAACGTTTGTGGAGACTAAAGCCGCCGCGGTTTGTGGTTGCAGGCCGCCTCGCCCGCGGACGGCGCGCCCGTAGTCGAGTACGAGAATGTTACAGACACTATTAAAAGGCGGCTAGAGAGTCCCGTTAACACTCCAGAAACGGAAAAACCGGAACTTAAAAAGTCTAAGATACCGTTGGCTTTGAAAAGCCCCGTACCGATCAGAAAAGAAATCAAAGAAGGCGGGCACAGGAGCAGAGGCTCCTCACTCGAGAGAGGGAAGCGAGTGTCTGAGAGCCCCGCGTCTGACTGCAGCGCCATGTCCACCGACTCCATCGAACCCCCGCCCCCGCGCCGACCCACCACCCTCCGCACCCCCACCACATCCACTACCCCTGCCAGCCTCGATACTCCTACTCCTATCTCTCCCAGCACCCTAACCACCCCCGACACCCCCAGTACCCCTACCTCCCCCACTGTCCGAAACACCTCCGTCACTCTTGCTACCACTACCTCCTCCGATACCCCAAACACGCCCGACACCCCCTCTACCCCTACCTCCCCCACTTCTCCAAACACGGGCGCGCCCCATGACACGGCCGGCACCCCGGAGCCCATGGACCGGCCGTCGACGCCGTCCACCCCCCTCACGCCGTCCACTCCGCAGCAGAACAGCAGCACGTTCAACTTGCTGACCGACAGCGACCTGTTCACTCAGATCTCGAAGGACAAGATCCGCGCCCGCGCCCCCGTCCCCGCCCCCGCCCCCGCCCCCGCGCACCCCTGCCACGTGGTCGCGGTCACGGAGCACGAGATCGTCAAGTCCACCGTCAGCCCCATCGAGCCCGTCGAGATATACCCGTTCGAAGCGATCGACGCCGTCGTCGAGTTCATACCGCAGACCGTGGAGACCGTGGAGATCATCGACGATACCGAAAACGAATCTCTCACCGATTCCGACGATCAGGAACAAACTCGACAGGCCGTCGATTTAGGAACGGAACCTAAGACTTTCGTAGTCGAGGTGAAGACTCTCGAACAGAGGATGAAACCGACGCTCGGCATATTAAAACGTAAAAACAGTTCCGAAGAAGAAAACCCGAAGACGTTGCGCGGCGCCATGGCGGGCGTGCCCGACGTGATCCCGGCCGGCGCGCGCGCCGAGGCCGCGGCCGGCCCCGCGCTGCCCGAGCCCTCCGCCACCGAGCTGCGCGCGCGCGCCTCCCCGCAGGTAATGCCTGCGTGTACGGCGCACGACGGTACCCACTGTCTAGCTCCTTGTGTCTGTGTACTTATGTACTTTTATTGATTTATTTAGTCTTTTACCTCAGGCAACGAAGGCCCGTATTAATACGATAATGGTGGATCGCTTGATTCCTGTGTGTCTGTCTGTGCAGTTACGCTCGACGTCGTGTAGCGAGTTCGAAGACAAGGCCCCGTTGTCGACGTCGACACCTATCAAGCAAGACGAGCGCAGCAAGCAGTCGGTACAAGTGGTGGCCATGTCGCCCAAACTGATCGGCGACCACTTGCCAAAAGTGACTGGTGACCAGTCGCCAACATTCACCGGTGGTCAGTCGCCGAAGTTGACCGGGGATCGATCGCCCGAATCGATCGGTGACCAATCGCCCGTATTGTCAGAAGATCAGTCGCCCAAATTATCCGAGTTTGGCAAATTGTCAGACGACAAATCGTCCAAGTCGCTAGATGATCAGTCACCTAAGTCAACAGACGAGCAATCGGTCAAGTCGACCCGTGACGAAACGAGCAAGTCGAGCGATGAGCAACCGGGCTCGGCGGAGTCGCCGGAGTCGGCGCAGTCGGTGCTGCGCGCGCGCTGGGGCAGCGCGGCGGACGCGGCCGTGCTGGCCTGGGAGGCGGCGGCGCGCGCGCTGCTGCGCCGCATGGACGTCATGCTGGTCACCGTCGGCGGCGTGGCGGCCGAGCGCGACCCCGCCAAGCGCCTCGAGATACTCAAGCACCAGCTGGGCCAGCTCGCGCCCGACGCCGCCGCGCTCATCTCGCAGGGAGACTCGCTCGTCTACGCCAAGCACAGGGACAGCCCGCTCCTGGCGGACTACATACAGACACACTTCCAGGTACAACAATGTACAACTCTGTTATGCATGCACCTAACTTGGAAACACTTTATTTGATATTTTCACGTCACTCGTCCAGGATAAACTGCGTAACAAATGGTCGATGGTGATGTCGGAGATCGAGTTGAAACGCAATCTCGCGCTGCGGGCGGAGGACAACCTGAAGGAGCTGAACAAGATACTGGAGGAGGCGCAGGCCTGGCCCGCCGGCGACGGCGACGCGCAGGACGGCGCCGAGATGGGCGCGCGTGAGGCCTGCGTGGAGCGCGCGGCCGAGCTGGCGCGCGAGCTGCGCGCGGCGCACGTGGGCGTGCCCGAGCGCGCCGTGGCGTCGCTGCTGGCGCGCGCCGCGCCCGCGCCCGGGCCCGAGCACGTGACGCGCGCCAACCGCGCGCGCGAGGCCGTGGCGGCGCTGGGCGCCATGCTGCGCGCGCCGCCGCTGGGCTCGCGCGACTACGACGAGTTCCCGCTGCAGGAGGACGCGCTGGGCCGCGTGCGCGCCGGGCTGGCGGCCGCGGCGCCGCAGGTGGCGGAGGCGGAGCGCGAGCTGGCGTGGCACGCGGCGCGCGGCGGCGCGGGCGCGGCGCGGGCGCAGCGGCTGCACGACAAGCTGCGCGCCGAGTGGGCGGCGCTGCAGGACCACTACCGCGCGCGCCACGACCGGTGACGAAGCATTTTTCATTCAATTTTGGGATATCGCCAGTTACGATTTTTCCTTAGAATCTGCAGTGACGAGACATCTGATCGTATGCAAGCAGCGTGTATCATAGACACAATACAGTCCACAAAACACTTTATTTTTTTATGGAATGAGCCGGTAAATGATCAAATGGACCATCTTATGGTAGGCAATCGGCGTTACAAGTGCGTTACTGGCCCTTTGGGGATTGGGAATTTGAGGATTGTAGGAGATCCGGGGATTGGAGAGACTGGGAAGGGGAGGATAAGGTAATTGGGCCTCCAGTATCTTCAGTCATATGACGAAACACAACGCAAGTGTCATTTTTGTGTCGGTGTTCTGTGAGGCCGTGGTACCATTCCGGTCGAGTCGACCTATAGGTTACAATGAGGCCTACCTTTTTTATTTGCTGACCAGGTGGCGCCACTATCAAAAGATGTTGAGTCAAAGAAAAATGAAATGAGATATCATACTTCCTCCTCTCTGTCCTTTGTATGCCAAGTGTCTGTAACAGTACGCTGCAAGACACAAGAGTGAGTGACGTCCCCCCGTGCAGATGGAGCGCGTGCCAGGCCGAGTGGGCGCGCCTGTACTCGCTGCTGGAGGCGGGCGGCGAGTGGCTGGACGGCGCCGAGCGCCGCGCCGAGCGCGCGCGCGCCCTGCCGCCCGCCGAGCGAGCGCGCGCGCTGCGCTCGCTGCGCGCGGAGCACGCGGCGCACGCGGCCGGGCTGGCGGCGGCGCGCGCGGCGGGCCGCGGCGTGCTGGCGGCCTGCGCGGCGCCGCTGGCGGCCCACGTGCAGGACCAGCTGGAGCTGCTCGCCGAGCGCGCGCACGCGCTGCACGCCGCGCTGCACGCCGACCTGAACACGTAACTACTCACGTCCTGCTCCCCAGCTTTCATTCATCCATCACATTCCATTACAGTATCTGTTTGTCTTATTACAATGACCACTTCGTCCTACATGCATATAATTACATACATAGGATAAAATTCATGTTCCACGCGGATAAAGTAGCTGCAACAGCTAGTAAGTCTTAATCTATAATGTCTAGATGGAGTGTCAGTTCACGAAAAGCGTTTCAAAACTTTAAGTACTTGTCAAATAGTACCAATCGTGTCACCTAGGCGTCACTACGTGCATGCACGCTACAAAACAAATACGTAAACACAATAATTGCACTGCAAACATGACAACACACTGTTGAGACACGGGTTCGGGTTGTAATTAAAAGATACGACAAAGTTCCACTCCATATAATGACCAAAAAAATACTTAGGCTAATTACAATGTGCGCGACCCACTCGCAACCCGACAAGCCCGTGACTGCCCGACGTTGCATAAATGCAACGTTGCAAAACCTATGCGGTGCATTGTCGTCGCTACATCATTCCTCCCCTTTTTTTTAAAAAAAGTATATATTTAACATAATTAAAATACAAATCATTTGAAACGTACATAGGAGATGCAGAAGTACAAGTACAATTACAGTTTTCACACCTTTTTTACATTTCTTAAACACAAAACACATTGCAAACAATAGCAATAACACTAGAATACTTGCAGTTATTGTTCCAAATAGTTCTAACTTTTGTTCCACCGAGCTTTGACTCGCGTTATTTGCACCATTTTGGGTATGATTATTTCCTCTGATTTACTGTATGATTTACCCATCGTATAAGTATGGTAATAAATTTTACAATAAGTACTTAATGTAATTAGTTGTCAATAGAACAATAAAATTTATGTAAAAATAGTTGTATATAAAGTATATAAATGCTTATATTGTAACCTACTTTATTTATTCCTAAAGTTGTTGTCATACTTCCAGCTACACATAGCTATGCTAGCTGTTACATTTATGCTACGTACTGGCTGTAGACTATATTACGACAGTTGCATTGTGTTAGCTTTTACTGGACGTGATCCTATATTATAGTACTTAGTAAGCTACATTGTACACATACATTACCTATTTATGCGGAAAAATTACACATGGTATAATAATGTATTGAATTATAAAATCGTGGTACATTTATATTACCATTACCTAAATCGTATAGGAACTCTACTAACTCTTCCACTACGCGTGGTGCGAGTGTTAGTGGAAACACTATTCGGAACCTCAGTATTTGCCGATGGTGTTACGTCAATATCTCACTGAGATAATATGCCGGTTTCAAACGGTCTATAGATATTCTAGCTTTCTGCCTGACATTTCTATGTGATAAACTTTCCTATCTCTACTCAACACGCGAAAAGGTCCATCGTAAGTTGGTTGTAAAGGTCTACGAACAGCGTCGTTCCTAACAAAAACGTAATTACATGTTTTTAAATCCGGATGTATATAAATGTTCTGTTTTTTATGTTCCCTGATTGCTACTGAATGGAATTTCCTAATGGTTTCTCTTAATTTGCAAACATACTCTTGACTACTATCTATTTCTAAGTTAGATTTGTTATCATAATAATCACCAGGTAATCTTAAAGTAGTACCATAAGTCATTTCTGCGGCACTTATACCATTATCGCCTCTTACTGCCGTTCTAAGCCCTAATAAAACAGTTGGTAATTCGATCACCCAAGATGTGGCTATGTTACATAAGCGAGCGGTTAACGCTGCTTTAAGCGATCTGTGCCAACGCTCACTACCCCATTGCTCTGTGGGTGGTAAGGTGTTGTACGCAGTTTATTTATACCTAATAACTTCATTAATGAGGAAAATAATTGACTTTCGAATTGGCGTCCTTGATCACTGGTTAGTTTTATCGGACAACCAAAACGCGAGATCCAACCTTCATATATAACTCGTGAAACAGTCTCAGCGGTTATATCCTTTGTAGGGAAACATTCTGGCCACCGTGTTCCTCTGTCTATTACAGTTAAGCAATACCTATAGCCTTCCGCTGAAATTGGAAGCGGACCAATCAGGTCTACGTGTATATGGCTAAATCTACTACATTGAGGAAACGAACCTAAAGCTGACATTGTATGTCTGTTTACTTTTGATCGCTGACAGTTAACACAAGTTTTAGCCCATTGGCTAACATCTCGATTCATACTCGGCCAATAAAAACGTTCTTGTACCAATTTTCGTGTCGTTCTGATCCCAGGATGACTCAAATTATGTACTGTATCAAAAGCAATACGCCGAAACTTTTCAGTTAAATAGGTCTGATTTTATCATTAATGATATTGCAATAAATAAACGCTCCGCTTTCAGGTAACATTATCCTTTTTAGAATATCATTATCGGACTTTAACAATTGCAAAACATAGTTATCATGTTGCTGTTCTTTAGCGAGTTCTTCGAAATCTATCACCGTGGGACAGCTTATAGTTGCTACGCGCGATAACGTGTCTGCAACGACATTGTCCTGACCACTCAAATGTCTTATGTCTGTGGTGAATTCGCTAATAAATATTAGATGACGTGTACGTCTAGTAACTCTTTCTCGCTGTTAGTTTTTAAAAATGCATATGTAATTGGTTTATGGTCCGTATATACAGTTAGCTGCCGTCCCTCAACCATGTTCCGAAAATGACGAATGGCTAAGTAAATCGCTAGTAACTCTCTATCATACGTGCTATACTTACATTCAGTTTTAGACATAGCTTTTGAAAGTAACCTAACGGTGTCCATGCATTGTTTACTTGCTGCTGCAACACCGCGCCTACGTGAGATCGGACGCGTCCGTCATAAGTGCTAGCGGTGCATCTGCCACCGGATGCGACAACGTGACCGCGTTACACAAGCTTAACTTACATTCTTCGAATGCTTGCTCAGCGTCTGGGTCCACGCAATAGGTGTCTTATCTTTCTTTTTTGCACCATGAATAAAACTACTAAGAATCGATTGCGATAAAACTGCATTTGGTTATGAGACCTGTAAAATTTACCATGCCCAAAAATCGTCGCAATTGTTCGATATTAATGGGCTTGGGAAATTCAGTAATGGCTTTAACTTTATCACCAAGTGGATGAATCCCCTCTGATGTGACACGATAGCCGACAAAGTCTATTTCTGTCTTACCAAACGTACACTTATCTAAGTTTATAGTTATATTATACTTGTTAACTGTTTAAATAATGACTCTAAATGCTCCCGATGCGTTTCTTCACTTGAAGATGCTATAATAACGTCATCGATATACGAAGATATTATCTTTACAAGCTGCGTCTAGTTCCTGAAAAACAGTGTGGTGCATGAATCGCTGAAAGGTTTGGGCTGCGTTGCGTAACCCAAACGTCATACGCGGGAATTCATATAATCCAAATGGCGTAATAATTGCAGTCTTTTCTATATCTTCTGATGCTATAGGAATACAGTGATATGCTCTGTTTATATCAATTTTTGAAAAGATCTTTTTTCCCGATAGTATATATGTGAAGTCGGATAAACGAGGTATGGATATCTGTCCGGCTTGGTGATAGAGTTAAGCTTCCTATAATCCCCACAAGGACGTAACTCCCCATTTTTCTTGGGTACCACATGAAGTGGACTGGCCCAAGGACTCTTTGAAGGTCTACAAATGCCTACTTCCTGCATAAAACGAAACTCCTCCTGCACTTTCTTATATCTAGACGGTGGTAACGGCCTAGCTCTAGCAAATACTGGAGGTCCGATTGTTTCAATGTGGTGGAAAACACCGTGGGTAGGTACTTCCCTATCGACGCAGGTTTAGTAATATTAACGTACTTACATAATAGATCGTGAAATGGATGAGTGTCCTCGACAGTTTTCACGGTCGGTTGATCCACCTCCACAATGCTGGCAACAAAATTTAATTTGTTATATTATCGATTAATCTAGATGAACTTAGATCTACTATTAAACGTGATGAGCCAGAAAATCAGCTCCTAAAATAGGTTGGGTTACCTCTGCGATTATGAATGTCCATTTGTAGGTCGACGTAAACTAAAGTCCAATATCATAGTTTTAGTACCGAATGTCTTAATCACACTTCCGTTTGCGGCATATAGTTTATA